GACAATGACACTGGTGGAATATTGCTGTTCTATGCAATTTTGGGGAAAATACCCCATTTGATGGAAAATAAACAAATATTCTGTGGTTTCCTGATTGATATATATATTAAAATAACAGCTGTGTGAAGTTGTTCAGAGGCCTGGCACCTTAGAAATAGACCTGGCAGAGATGGATAGTTGAGGAAGTCAACGGTGCACTTCAATCACATGATTCTGTGGAGTCACTATTAATCATATAGCCCTGCAATTTATCACATGGATACCACTACCTCATACATATGTGTATGTATATTATGGACCAAAAGCTGTCCTGACTTGCACCCTTATGACCCAACTGAATTCAGTGGAGTTCCCCAGATACAATGGAGGGGCAGGATCTGGCCCTATGTGTATATAAATCTAGTATACACAGTGGTTAGATTCTGAGGTCTATTATACCAATGTATATCTGGAGTAATTCTGTTGTAGTCTAATGACTGCAGGCTAATCCATTTATTCATTTCAGATGGCTGTCCCTGAGAGAAAATATGTTTGTTTCAATTTTTATTAGAACTCTAAGATACCACACTACAATAGGCACTACGTAAAATACATAATTAAGTCATACAACTAATAAATAATAATAGCTGCAGATACTTTCCAAGGTACTGCTTCAAGACAGACTGGAATGGGGAAGAAGATCCAACCCCATATAGATGGGAAAAAGGATAGAAGAACTAATAAATAATAATGCCTTACAATGGAGTGGGTGCCATTAAAAAACCCAACATTTACAACACAGGGACCTCAGAAACTGCAGGACCTTCCCATATGTAGAACAGGAGAAAACACCATAAGTCATACATTTTGGAGCAGCATCCATATGCTGAGTTTGTAAGGGAATCATTATCTTATATGCATATAGTCTGTTTTCTCCTGCAGATGTCAGAGTGTTTTATATAGGTGATTAAGAATCACCATCTCCATTTCAGTAGTGAGAAAACTGAGGCAAAAAGAGGTTAAGGACAAAATCTGCAGAATTCTGGACGCCCAATTAAAGACACCTTGGGTTTGACTTTCAGAAGTACTGAGCACACAAAGCTTCAATCAACTTCGGCTGGAGTGGTGGCCCCTCAGCAATTATAGAAATCAGGCCCATGGTGTCAAGGAGAAACTGAGGCCACATTTGAACTAAGTAAATTGTCCAGGGTCACCTAGCAAGTCAATACTGGAGTTGTAAACAGAATCCAGGTCACCTGACTACCAGTGCTCTGCCCAATCCACCGGTCTACTAAACCAACTAGAAATACAGCATCTTTTAACATACAAAAGAAACAACATGATTTTCCCCCATAAAGGACAGCTTTTGCCAAGTATTGAGTACTCTCAATACACAAACTTCAATTTGAACCTCCCGAAAGGTTCTGAGCACCTCCTAGCATTAGCTTCTCTGAAAGTAAAGTATCATAAAAAAGTACCAGGTAAAATCCTGGCCCCATTGAAAAGAATGGTAAAACTCCCATTGAGTTCAGTGGGGATTTCACCCATGGTTTTACAGTAAGTTGTTGAGTGCCTCCTGTGAGTGTATCCTCCACACCCACTGACTCAAACGCAAGCAGCGAGTGCTCAGCACCTCGCAGGAGTGCTCAGCGCCTTGCAAGGCTGGGTCCCTAAAGTGCTAATGAACTAAAAATTCTATATAAAGGAGATGCTGTAGCTTTTTCAGGGTGATAATTACAATGGAAGAAACACTTAAGGACTTATCTCAAGACATAACAAAGCATTCCTCAGCTATTTGGGATTTGCATTTTTATTCATAATGAAATTTTACAAGCTAAAATGCAATAATACTGTCTTGGACTATGCCACTGTATTTACAGGGAAATCCTTCTGTTCGCCAGCAATATGGTAATTTACTGTTGGTATTTGTTGTACACCATACAGGACTGTAAAGAGCTTGTCACCCTTGCTGTCCCAGAGGCACAGCAGTAGCATGTTTTCTTGCTGGAGATTTGGGCTTGTGAAGACTTTTGGGACAACCCCCACAAAAGCTGGGGGATAGCAGGGGCATTCTAGAGGTAAAAAGAAAAGGAGTACTTGTGGCACCTTAGAGACTAACCAATTTATTTGAGCATGAGCTTTCATGAGCTACAGCTCACTTCATCAGATCATACATCTGATGAAGTGAGCTGTAGCTCACGAAAGCTCATGCTCAAATAAATTGGTTAGTCTCTAAGGTGCCACAAGTACTCCTTTTCTTTTTGCGAATACAGACTAACACGGCTGTTCCTCTGAAACCTGTCATTCTAGAGGTGACACTCTTGAGCTTCACAGGGAGAACGCACACTGCACTACAGATTGCAGCACTTTTCAGCACACATATCCAACCATTCTAGAATTTGAAAATGACTGCCTCTAGACTAAAGAGGCCTGACACTTCCAGTTCCTTCATGGCTAACACTGGAGTGTTAGCATATCTCCTGGCTTACCAATAGCAAGAAATACAAGAGTAACACGGAGGACAGAGGCTTCCAAGTTTCCTACACAGACAAATATATTTATAAAATCTTTCTCTCACAAAGCATGTGTTCCTTCATGGTTATATTTAATAATCTTCAGAGATGTTACTAGTACCGTCTGTAATGTACCTTGCAGTTTTGATCGGTTAGTCACCCTGAATCCACAACTCATGATGGTGAGTTATGACTAAAGAATAACTACTGTGTTCAAGAAAACTATTTTCACCAGAAACTTTAGATAATGCTTACACGAGTGACACACCAAAAAGCAATGGAGCAACTGGCTAATGCAATCATTCTCTGAATTCATATATAATTAGAAAACAGAGGTGATGGAAAATTGGTTACCACTTGATTTTCTAAGAATCAGAAAATATATATCAATATATATCTATCTATCTAACTATAATGTATCCCAAAGGAGGAGAAGATGGCTAAAAGAACACAATAAAACTATTGTCATTGTAAGAAAGAGTTTGAATCTGACATGTAGTTCATGGATAAAAATGACTGGGGGCTGAAATCCAGGTTCTATTGAGTGGCAGTAATAGAAAAGTGAAATCACAATTACTAAGTCAGCACAATTTACCAACAGTGTTCAAAAGAGATACAGATATTAACCATGGGACTACAGCAGGACACATCGAAAGGTGTTAGACCTGATCCCAATAGGAAGATGTCTTCCTAATAGACAATGAATGGCATGCCCTCAATTCCCACAGAAGTCAATGGGAATTGAGACCACCCAGAAGTTGGCATGAGGCTCTTAGCATCTCTCAGGGCTGGGCCTTTGGTCTTTACATTGTAGTAATACAGAAACATTGGGGGATTTCAGAATGCTGCCAGAACAAGCCTTCCAAAATATTTTGCAATAACATTTCCCCTGGGAAATTTGCCATTACACAAAATTAATTTTCTCCTAGAAGTCTCACTCTAAAAAAGATTAAGGGAAAGAGAGAGACTTTATCACTGTCTGAAGGGCATTTAGAGCACTTTATTATTTTCATCAAGGTGAGTACACGCAACTCCTCTTAAGATTTAGTGGGTGTGATACATGGACTCTTGTGGTACAGCATATTCCACAGATCTTACTTCTCAACTCACTCACCATTTTTCAACATGCTGAGCACTCCTCACAATAATATCGCTACTGTGCTACTTCACAGCCTCTGTTAAAAGACCCCTATTTGATTTTTAGGTAGAATTTGGATGCTCAACTTTCTTAAATGTGGCTGTACCCATACTGAGATGAATGTGTTGGATGCAGCACACCCAAACAATCCTCAGATGCTATGGGACTCAAGAAAACAGTTAAAAAAGCAGGCAGAAACCCAGCTGCTTCCCTTTATTCTCCTGTTTACAATATTAGACCAACATTACAGCTATACATTGACATCACTTCACATGCCAAACTCCCACTGATATCAAAGAGTTCTCCGCATGAACAGAAAGCAGTTTACGGCCCTTAGTGTGCAAATAATTCTGCTATGATCCCTTTTCTTTGAAATGCTGGCTGCAGTACCATAGGATTTGTTAGACTTTTCAAGGACTTGGCATGCTTTTAGAGGCATTGTACTCACCAGCACCCCTACCCTCCCTCACACCGAGTATCCAGAGGCAGTACATAACTGAAATGGAAATTCTGAATTTCTCTCTCTGTTCTTTGGAGTAGAAATTACATCTTGGATCACACATTATATCATCTCGTTCCTTAGAAGCATGTTTGCATCACTTTATGTCATGCACCTCTGTGGTCTGTTGGCAAGGCACAGCTACATTAAGCGAGGGACCCAGAGCTGACATTATCAATTTTAAAAAAAAATTCTACATTTAGTTTGAGGAACAAATACACACTGCTACAGAGACAGACTAATTCTGTGTATTCCACAGGATCTCACAACGTGTTTTGAAAAGTAGCTAACCCAGTTTGTGTTCACACTGTACAGCTATTAAACCATGCTTGAACCAAACTACAGGGGCCTGTTTGTGCCCTGCTAGGGAGCAGTCTTGAACACAGTTCTAATGCTGTTACAGCTTAGTGACCCAATGCTCCACAAACAACTTCCTATCTTCTTAATGGAACTTTCATGCAGAGTGCAGAGGAGCGGAGTGAGCTGGGAATAGAGTTTCACAACACTGGAGCAAATTCTGCCTCCAGTGGGTGCAGCAGGTGATCAGTATATCTCAAGATTTTACTGTTGTATATATTTTTCAAAATTGGTTTAGTTTTAGAGCTAGTGTGGATGGACATAGTTTTTCCTAAAATCATATAACTGTTTTCAGTTAAGAGCAATGATTTTCCTTTTGAAATAATGGCTCAAAGTCACATTAACCCTCAAGTTCAGAAGTCCCTGAAACTCAAACTGGTCTGACCTACAATATTTAGGACTGAAAACAAATTCTGGTTCAATAGGCATTACACATTTTAGCAAGTAAGGCTGCTCATCAGGTAGATTATTTGGCCTGCTTTTCTTTCATTTACACTTGTCTTTCACAGGAGCATCAACAGCACTGAGGGCAAAGGCCATTTGGTTCTGGATTCTGGCAGTACAAGTAACAAAAGATAAGTTCCTACAAATCGAGAAGGCAATTGGTCACAGGCCTTGGGAAATTATATTTCAGTGGCCAGAGATTTTACCTAACTTACCTTTTCTTGTGTCTGGCACAGAAGACAGTTGCATTCAAAGCAATACTGGCGTTTCAGATGTTTTTGACGCTCACTGCTGGGCATCAGTGATTCAATATAGCTGATAGTGAGCTATGTGAAACAAACAGAAAAAACAGAACTCTTATACTTAAACATCAATTCAGTATATAAGTAGAGCTGGTTGAAAAAAAAATTACCAAAATACGTCCCAGTCACAAAATCTGATTTCATATAAATGGATACATCCCACTGAGAAAATCTAAATACTTTTTTCATGTTAACACTGCCATTTCAAAGCATTTTTCGAACTTTTAATTTTGAGAAAACTTTTAATTCTTTGTCCTGATTTTGAGATGAAAGCAAATGTTGAAGTATCCAAATTTTCTATGGGATGGAAATTCCATTTTCTGACTAACTCTGACTGTAATCCTGGACTCCAGCACCATCCAAGCGTCTAAAAATATTTTGACTTAAGGATACCACTTTTATTTGAGAATATACATTCTATTCTACATATGTCAACCAGGTTAGTTTTATTTCAATCCTATCTCACTATTTTAAGTATCTCTATAATACCAATCATTGGAATATTTAAGTGCTGTTTTGTTGTGACTGAAAAAACATAAGACCCTCCTATCTAGACTTGCTAAAAATATTCCCAAGTACTTGCAAGAAGATACACAACAACCCTGATTGAAACTAAATAATAATACCTGCATTTCTAGCCCTTTAAAAACCCTAATGCCATTCAGGTAAATTCCAATGAATAACAGCGAATTCTTTGTTAAAAAAACAACAGAAAACAAACAAAAAAAATTCCACACCAGCCAGAAGAAATTTTGAAGGGCCATAATCATGGCATTTATATAATGCTTTATATCAGGGGTGGCCAACCTGAGCCTGAGAAGGAGCCAGAATTTACCAATGTACATTGCCAAAGAGCCACAGTAATATGTCAGGATACCCAATGACCACTGAAGTACTCCAAAAAGGGCAGAACTAGACACCAGGTCACATTACTACATCTTGACCATAGATACTTCAACTAACAGGGATACGTTTTTGCATGGCTCCTAGTTAAATCATGAGACTGCATTCAAACAGAAATGACAGGGAAACCTTACCAATTTTCACTAATGACTGGGAGACCCAATTGTCAGTTACTGAGTTTTGCAAGTTACTGGGTAGTGTGAGTAAACAAACAAATAACAAGCAAGCATAATGCCTCTACTTTGTTCACTTGTTATTATGAATATAATTTCATATTTATTACACATATTAACATAGAATAACTATGTTAAAGAACATTGTTAAGGTTGCAAAGTCAATCACCCTAAATTTCCACAGGTTGCGGGGGCAGGAGAGGGGCAGGAGATAGTATGTAGTTGTGTAATTAAAGAGTGTATCATAAGGCATACACATAAAGGGATCAAATTGAGGATGCCCAAGCAACTTTTACTCTGGCATTTCCAAAATTCTGAGTGCCTGACTGCAATCTTAACAAGGTGGAAATATGATGCACCAGGTGTAGACCTGGCACCAGGTATTAGCCCCTTAGAGCAAAGGGGAAACTAGGAAGCAGATTATGACTCTCAGCTCAGATCAGATCAAGTATACTTCACGAGCATGTTTCTCCACACTGAGCTACCCATAAGCCTCAGTCCTAACTGGGAAAAGGTTCGAATGTGTATCAGCCTCCATTAAGTAAAGACCCAGAAGCTCAAATCTGAATCACCTTCCCCTAAATCTTGGTGGGAGTTGGATTTGAATCACTGGATCTGATCCCCTTCCTATGATTTTAGGTTTAGGTTATATCCAAAACCAGAAGAGACCTAATCTGGCTAAAACATGGTCCAAGATAGCAGAAATCTTGTGGGAACATCCATTCATGTGTGATTCCTCCATTCAGGGCCAAAATATTGAGAGAAAAGGTCATAAGCTTTCAACACTGCTGAATCTAAGCATTAGAGGTGGTTGAGTCTCAAACCTGAATCACAAACCACAGCCTAGATCTAACAGAGAGTGAACAAACCCCCACTTTGCCCATTTCCAGTCTCCAGACCTGTTCAATCCTTGTTTCCTTTCTGTCTGTGCTCCTGACAAGAGTACCAAGTATGATGCAGGAGACTTCATAAGAGGAACTAAACTGAAAGCTATTTCTTCTAGGCTACTAAACGGCTATCAGATGATAACAGTCACTAACAACCTGCTCTGAATTTGAACTTATGACCAAAAAGTGAAAGGCAACACATGATTAATAATCCCTACGATGTGGAAATTTACAACCCCTTGATTTTTTTTGCAGTTAAACGGTCTGATCCAGCTCCCATTGAAATCATTGGGCATGTTTCCATTCATTTCAGTGGGAGCTGCATTGAGCCCTAAGTGAGCAGAATATTTTGTTGTTGCCAGATTGAACGGGAAAATGTAAATGTAATGTTCAAAAACATGACCACCCTCCCAGTGACTAAGTGTGTACTAATCATTTAATCAGTTATACACAGAAGCCCTTTATTAAAGTCTGTCTCTTACACTTGTTTTAATTTTGGATCTGTTCATTAGATGCAAGGCTCGTTTAACTTGTACATAAATATGAAATATTTACACTCATCAAATATTCCTTTAATAGTATTTTGTGTGTAGGATGTACAGTATTAATTACACCATTAATTCAGTTGACCAAAGCTTTACTGCATCCAACTGCACCCAATGATCCCTTTGAGGATCTGGGCCCCAGGTCCCATAATTTAATTTCATTTAAAAACTGCACTGTAACAAATACTCCTTAACGGGTGTTAATACTATAAAGACATGTTTTAAACAACAGATATTCTGGCTGAAAATCTGTACATACTGTGGACCAGTTATAAGAATTTCTAAAGTATACTTAGCATAGACAAGCAACCAACCACCCAAATTGGTTGTGTACCAGAATTGGTCTCTAACAGTAGGTCAGACAAAATTACAATGGAAACCCTGCAGCTACTTTAAAGTGGTTACTTAAGACAGGGGCGCATTGGACGCCATCTTCAGAGCAGGTTTCTCTGCATGTTTGAAAAATGTTCCTGAATATATATGAATTTGATAGTCCAGCTTATCCCTGAAGGAGCCACTTTAATCTCCAAGGAAATGATTTCTATGTTCTAATATCTTTTCCCCACACCCCATATTTAGCCTGTACTTTCTTTCTTTCAAAAATGAAATTAAAAAGAAAAAAAACTTTACATAATGCTTAGGGCCTGTCCTAAGGTAACAAAAACCAGGAAAATCAATGCTAAGACTGACATTATTTGAGCAGGAGAAGGAGGAAGGTCTTATAATTGGGTATGAGTGACTGGAAGCAAATTTGAGAGACTCCTGTATCCTAAGTTATCATTAGAGACACACAGACTGCAATTTCCACAGCTGACTTCCATCGTTTCCTTCTTCCTCTTATTAGACTCAATTATGCTCTGAAATCTGGCACAAATTAGGGTCAAGAGAGCAGTAGGAGATCCTCTCTCTCCTGCTTCAGCAGAGGGAGATCTGAAGTTGCTCCCAGCCCTCGTTTGTTTTCTCTTCACCTCTGCTTCTTTCACTCTGCTGCTCTGCTCTGCATATGCCAGATCCTGCTCTCAGAGGTGCTCACCTCCAGCATTTCAAACATCAGGATTTCAGTCAGTTTCACTGTGCTGCTAGTTACACCCCAGGTGAAGCTGTGTGCCCTTACAGCTCAGCCCAACACAGGGAAAGGAGATGAGGAAAACAATAGGGGAGAAAGGCCATAAGGGGAAGGTAAAAGAGTTCTACTAGGACCAAGATTCACAAGGGAATGAAATACAAACTCCAAGTTCCAAAACTGGAGGAGGTTCTTCCACATGGCTCCATTTCCTCCAAAGGGATTTTTTCTCTAAATGTCTTCAATACATTGGATGGGTACATAAGAGAGTAGAACTCGGGGCACAGGCCAGACACTGGTTTTTAATGTCATATCCAAAAGGACCTCACACACTGTATGCAACCCAATTGATCATCCTCATCAGAAAGGTTGTCAGCGATCCCTTGAGGAGGAGGAGAATCTCTTTCACGGGTTTTATTTTTCATGGGCCCTTTTGTGACTGAGGATTCTGATCCTTTAGCCACAGGTTTGTTGACAGACATTGCAGGTGGTGTTGGAAGACAGGGTTGGGCCATGATTGCTGCATGACAGTTGTCTTTCCTTTCTTTTCTGGCATTTTTCTGCGACCAGGGCAAGGCGATTTTCCACAAAAGTGGACGTTCCCTCTCTGACAAGTCTTCACCAGTCATCCCTATCCTGGGCTGCTGTCTCCCAGTGTGCGGTGTTGATGCCCCATCTCTTGATCTTTATCTTGAGGGTGTCTTTAAAGTGTTTCTTTTGGCCTCCTCGTTTCCTTTCTCCTTTGGTGAGTCGGGCCTACAGTAGTTTTTTTGGTAAGCGTACATCAGGCATGCACACACAGTGCCTGCCCCACCTCAACTGGTGCTGGATAATCAGGGCCTCAACACTGAAGATGTTGGCCTCTGTGAGGACACTGACATTGAACTGACCCTGCTGGGATTCAAACCTATGTTTCCAAGGAGCCTAGGAATTCCATATCTGCCACTTAAAACTCTAAGGACTTGACTACACAAATATTTAGTTTGCAGCAAGCTGTGGTGTGAATCTATGGCACAACTGTTCATGTACACCCTGCTGATACACATTAACTGTTTATCAATGCACTTTGATCTAGTCCTCTTTGAAAGGGGACCAGAACAAAGTGCATTAATGAACTGTTAATTAACGTCAGCAGGGTGCACATGGTCAGTTGGTGCACGGCAAGCTAACATAGGGTAGATTCACACTCTAGCTTGCCATCAACTAAATATCTGTGTTGACAAGCCCAAAGTGTGAGGATTCTGGAATAAATGTTGTAGAAATTGCTTTAAATTGCAAAATTCTATATTTGGTACTGATTTTAATGTGTGTGTAAATATTTATCGTTCTATTCGTATTCTCTATATGAAGTGAGCTGTACCTCACGAAAGCGTATGCTCAGATAAATTTGTTAGTCTCTAAGGTGCCACAAGTACTCCTTTTCTTTTTGCTCTATATTTCTGTTACTAGGGCC